CAGAATCATCAGAACTTTCCAGCCCAGTCATGCTCGTTGGCCAACTTAGGACAACTGTGAGAAGTGCCACATTCCTGCATTTATATAATTGTAGTAAGTTAAGGGAAAAAATATTCAAAAGCAAGCATACAAGAAGTAACTTGAAATAGCAGCCCACAAGTCCCCGAAGTGTGCCAGATCAAGGAGCAGCTGTCCTAGCAGCTTCCCTGGATGCTTCTATCTCTTGTGCACTGTTCAGTACTTAAATGTCTGTATCTGACCGCTGTAAGAATAAAGAATAAGGAATGGCTTCAGACACACAGGCCACTGTCCCAGCACTCAGAGCACCAAGATGCCTTCTGCTAGAAAGTTCTTCCAACACCAGGTGTCTTGGCTTTTCTACTTTGTGTGAAAGTATAATGTAAAAGAGTTTAATGCTTTCTACCTAGGCTGAACTTTACGGTATATGGTTTACGTTTAAATGCTGACACACAATTAATCTTTCCAGAGGTCCCACAAGTGGTCACTGCCAGTATGGAATTTATACATGCCATCAGCCCAGGATTGCTCTGGCCGCCCTGAACTTGTCCAAGCTTCTCTTGTAAGGTACCACATAAACACAGACCTCATTCCCTCTGTTAAGCAGCTATTATTAGACTAAGACTTTTATGGTTAGAAGAAACCCTTTTAACACTGATTTGACTTCTGTATAACACAAGCCATCAGTCTTTCTCGACTTCATTCCTGTTCTGTCTGGATAATAGTACTTTAATTCAACAATGTCTCATCTATGACCCTTGGACACCACAAATATTGCCTCCAAGTCATTGATAAAGATATTGAACATCACAGAGATGAAATACCATCAAACCACAACTGTTCTATTATTCCTCACAGAAATACACGTTTTAAATCACATCTTCTCTAGTGACACAGGAGGCCTATTTTGTTTTTCGATTGGTCCAGTTTCTTAAAAGGAACAGTATGAATTCAAATGTGTTACTGAAGGTAAAAAGTAAAACCCTTACATTTTAAATAATAGCCTTAACTTTAATCCAATCTTCCAATCCATCCCAGATATAATAATAATACAAAAAAATAGGGTTTGTTGGTTTCATTTGTTTGTTGGGGTTTTTTTTAAATTAAAACATTACTTGAACAGTCTGACTTTAAGATCTTCTCAGATTTTTAAAGCTTTTGTTTAACACATTCATTTGCTGTTAACAAAATGGAAAATAAGACTTCTCACAAAGAGATAAAACTGACATTTTTAAAATATCTACCATGTTCATATTGCAAATATAATACTTGAACAAGCACCACCTTTAAAGTAAAGCACCAGGAACAACAGAAAATCTCATTCAAAATTAATATGGATTGTTTCTTCTCTTTAGTGTCATTTGCCTTTTTTTTACTGCCTATAAAATCATTTTTGAATTTGGTTTCTATTATTGATTTGGGGGGGGGGGGGGGGGTTGTTTGTTTTTTAAATGCCAGTTTTCACATCCCTGTAAGCCAGGTTGATTTGTAACCCACGGGTTTGTCTCAACATTGTTTATTTTTAAGGGTTTGTTACTTAAAGCATGTTACTAAACAATCATCATTCACATTTACATGTTTAAATGTTTTCCTTTAAATCAGCTTGATTATTTCTATCATCCTGGGGGGGGGGGGGTTGTTTGTTTTTTAAATGCCAGTTTTCACATCCCTGTAAGCCAGGTTGATTTGTAACCCACGGGTTTGTCTCAACATTGTTTATTTTTAAGGGTTTGTTACTTAAAGCATGTTACTAAACAATCATCATTCACATTTACATGTTTAAATGTTTTCCTTTAAATCAGCTTGATTATTTCTATCATCCTTAAAGCATCCCACTTACAGTGCTGAGTACGCATTTCAGGTAGGTCTCCATTAAGTTGGAGTTCCTTGTATCTTGCCAACCATTCATTTTTCTTTCGCAATCTCTTTAACCATTTAAAGGTGACTAACATACACTTCTATATTGCTAGAGGAATGCCCAGAATCCAGAGCTCACATCACCGCAGTTTCCTAACCCTTCCCCATCAGTACTGATACTAGTGCCCGAGTATGTTTTACTTGGACTGAAATCCCACCTGAGAAGCACCCTCCTCGCACCTGAAAAAATACGTGGCTACTGGGTAAGGCACAACTTTTAGTGAGACTGTCACGGTCTGTAGTAAATAACTAACAGTACTCCAATAATGTTTTAAATGCTTTGGATAAAAATGTCCTATCAGCAATTACTTGCCTCCAGTTTGTCAATGAGTTACAAAACAGGCATATTATTTTTGGCAGTGGTCAACACCACTTCTTTTGGATGCTCATTCCCACATTGATTACATGGAGTAATTTACTAGTTTGGTCATGCAAGTCTTTCTACTAGGTCAATTTTTACTCATAAGTAAGCAGTTTCCATTTCTCTTGCTTATTATCCAGGAAATTGTATAAAAAATGCTTTATTTGTGTCTCTGTTCTTGGCTTTATGAGTAGCAGGAAAATACTCCAGCTAAAAATACCTCTGCTAAAAATAAAAGTAATAATGCTTTTAATAATCACCATAAATTGAGTGAGTTGCTCCTCAGAGTTACTGTTTTGGGTCCTGTACACAACAAAACAATACAGGACGAGAATTGGTGAAGTTTTTCCTGCAATCTGCTTTAGAGTAAGACTTAATCTTTCTGGAGAATTTGCAGGTTGTGCACAACCGCACTCCAGTTGCCAAAAATACATATTTTAAAACTTATTTTAAAGGACTGAGGCCCCCACAGAAAGGGAAAAGGAACTAATCTAAATGGAAAACAGCTGCACAATTCAAAAAACATGTTCAGCATAATTATTATTTATATGTGCTCAAGTTATGAGAGTGATTTCTATTGTTTCTTATTACGGAAAATCCTGGCTAGAGTCAGAAAATATAGCATAAAAATACAGTTATTTGTCCAAGAGGTTTAGATTTTAAGATAAGGAATTGCAGTGCAATACCACAGCAGCTTGACCTAATATAACCAGCTTAGCCAGCAAAACGTGATTGCTTTTTGGTCATTTCAGTTCTCTGCAGCAGCTCACCACCTGGTCACACAAACACCAGCCTTAGGGAGGCAACAACGTTATGCTGCTGGGTGGAGAGGGAGGGTGTTAGAGGGAAGAAATTAAGGGTGCTGGTCCCCCAGGATCCCTAACTTCCAAGAAAGTAGTCAGGGAACTGCATCCAAGCTCCAAATAACGAATATCACCAGTGCAGTCTCTTCAGACAATGGGTAAACCAGTAGAGTCTCACCTGTTCCTAACTCTACAGCAAAATTCAGAGGTCTCAATCCCAGTTACATCCAACAGATAAATGCTTAAACATCTGAGCAACCACTGCTCACTGGAAAAAGCCACCAAACATTTACGTTTTGAAGTGGAGTCTAGCACAACCCTGGAAGAGCAATTGTGCTGCCTCCAGAGTTGACCATGACCCAACCATGATTCACAGCCTTGATTTAGCTCATGCTGCTGACTTTTCCTTACCCCAAAATTTGCAAAAACCCATATAAGCATAAACAGCACTGATCTGTCAGCTAATGCAATTCCTTGCATCTGCTACAGCACTGAAAAAACCCAACAAAACTTACTCTTTACCCAACCTCCCACTGATTCAAACTTACTTATTCTAAGGTCCCTTGGACCAGTAAATTTAGCTCTGTGTATATATGTTTCATATATATCAACAAAATAATATGCCATGTAAAATTAAAAATGAGAGTGAAACTCGTGCATAAAAGCAAAATGCAAAGACTACTGCAGTATCAGAAGTAGTTGATGCACTAAATGCCTAGAAACATTCAATAACAGATTAGATAACTGGTTCAGCTTCTCAAACCAGGAATGAAACCATTTCATAGCACATGAGACTTGCATGTAATTTGTCATGGCTATGTGCTACAGTGTTCAGATACATCCCACAGGTCTGTCAACTTTCAGAAGGGGGTTCTAGGGGGACAGAGAGACAGGGTAGTAGGCTATTTCTCAGTTCACCAATGGTTTCATGATGTATTGTCTAAATTACCCCGGTGGGGCAGGGGTGGAGATGTGTGTATAAAGCCAAAGAGGCATACACCCAACCCAACAATGTAGAAGACCCAGCTAAAATTACTGCTACAGAAATGCTTTATTTAGCTATAACACACATAAATGTCTGATACATTTATGATGCATAAAGTTTAACGCTTGCATTATTTATAGTATAATATTTGTTCATTTCTGCTAAAGCATAATGATATTGCTGGTGATATTTAATTTGACATCATTCAGAGTCACTAATTCAAATATTCTTTCAGGGAAAAAAAAGAAGGAAGAACAGGGGCCAAGTAATTAACTAGCAATCCCGGGAGCTCTGGAAATAACAAAGCCAATTTTCAACAACTTTAAATCACTGGACTTCATACAAATGGGAAGCCAAGTTAAAACAGGTACGGTCCACTTATGAAGGACTAGGACCTTATTTTGGGAAATTTCGTTACAGTGTTTTCTATAGCTGAAGTCAATGTACAACTAAGCATGTAGACATGCATTCCCAGCACAGATCAGGCTATAGCTTCAAGCTGTTCACCAAAACAAGGGGCACAGACAGAATTCATGTCTGAAATTACTGCAGAGGAATTCTGCAGCAGAAGTAGAGTAAGAATGCTGCCTTAAATTGTATTTTCAATTTTATCATTCTCCGCTCCTCTTGATATCTAATTCCCCATAATGCTTTTTAACTTGTACAATGTATGCAGCACATTTTTAGAAACAACAGCATTCTTAACTACTTGTGTTAGAAAAACTGTCTATGCTGTGTATTAGGATGCGTATATATCTACACTGTGCATTAGGATGAGACTTTTTCCATATGACTTTTTAGTTTGCACATAATCAAAGCCCATGTCACAACAGAGAAAAACAACCTTTTCCAATTCCTCTTTTATATAGTTCCCTTCTAACAGCTAATACTCATTACACCTCAGAAAAGAACTTACCTCATTATCTGTTCCCACGTCCAACATCACTGGTAGACACTCGTGAGGTTTTACTCCTCCACATGCCGTATAAAGTGCCAGTTTACCAACTGGGATGCCCATTCCATAACAGCCAAGGTCTCCAAGACCAAGAATACGTTCTCCATCTGTCACCACAATAGCCTGGAGGAAGAAATAAAATCACTGTAAAAATCACTTCTTTGTTTGCATGCACTAAGTACTCCTTTATCTTCTTACCATAACTTTTTATTTTTCACGTTAATAATTCCAACAGGTACAAAGAAATCAAGAGTACAAAAAAGGCCCAGAATTGTTTTATTGTATTTCACTGTGGTTTTGTTACACTATTTTAGACTCTTGTTTCACTGTAAATGGGACTTTCATATAAAACTTTTGAGAATACACAAGAGAGGTATTTAGTAGTACATTACAAGGGAACTGGCATTGTTCCCTCTTACGTTTATCTGTCAATAGTATGAAAACAGAATAGGAAGGGAAGTTATCCACAAAAAAAGAACAACCCGGGACTCCTGGATTTTGTCATGGCTGTTTTCAGCAGAACCAGAGCCAGCCACTCCTGCTGGCCTTTGACATATCTGTCTACAGCCACCTGGTTCTTACCCTTCAAAGATGTACGTATTCCTCCCTTGAGCAAAAACTTACACATATGAGGAAGAGTGTATTGTCATTGATAGAAATACAGGAACTCAGTCAACCCCACAAAACTGCACTATAAATAAGGGTTTTTATAGTAAAGAACAGAAGTGCTCAGTATGGCAAGCAGCTGACAACAGAATAATTTCCTTCTCATACTCTGTGACAAGCCTTTTTAGTTAGAGATTTAGTATTTTTTGTAAGAGAACACACCAGGAATCATATGTGGAGAACTATTAATGAAAACACAGAAAGGGTTGCCAGAAGAACTTGTGGAGTCTCCACTCTTGGAGATACTCAAAACTCAACTGGACACGGCTCTGAATAAACTGCCCTGGTTGACCCTGATTGAGCAGGAGGATGGACCAGATGATCTCCAGAGGGGCCTGGAAGGGAAGTTATCCACAAAAAAAGAACAACCCGGGACTCCTGGATTTTGTCATGGCTGTTTTCAGCAGAACCAGAGCCAGCCACTCCTGCTGGCCTTTGACATATCTGTCTACAGCCACCTGGTTCTTACCCTTCAAAGATGTACGTATTCCTCCCTTGAGCAAAAACTTACACATATGAGGAAGAGTGTATTGTCATTGATAGAAATACAGGAACTCAGTCAACCCCACAAAACTGCACTATAAATAAGGGTTTTTATAGTAAAGAACAGAAGTGCTCAGTATGGCAAGCAGCTGACAACAGAATAATTTCCTTCTCATACTCTGTGACAAGCCTTTTTAGTTAGAGATTTAGTATTTTTTGTAAGAGAACACACCAGGAATCATATGTGGAGAACTATTAATGAAAACACAGAAAGGGTTGCCAGAAGAACTTGTGGAGTCTCCACTCTTGGAGATACTCAAAACTCAACTGGACACGGCTCTGAATAAACTGCCCTGGTTGACCCTGATTGAGCAGGAGGATGGACCAGATGATCTCCAGAGGGGCCTTCCTACCTCAACCACTCTGTGATTCACTGAAATTCAGAAAAAACATTCAGGGTTCTCTTTGATGCATAATATTCAATGTAATTGACCAATTAATCAGTAAAGGATGCCTATAGCTAAACAAGGGTTTAAAAGTCTCAAACTTTAGCTGTAACAGCATTGTTTCTATTTAAAAAATGAGCTAAGATACCATAGAATCACAGAATGGTTAGGGTTGGAAGGGACCTTAAAGATCATCTAGTTCCAACCCCCCTGCCATGGGCAGGGACACCTTCCACTAGACCAGGTTGCTCAAAGCCTCATCCAGCCTGGCCTTGAACACTTCCAGGGATGGGGCATCCACAGCTTCTCTGGGCAACCCGTTCCAGTGCCTCACCGCCTTCTCTGGGAACAATTTCTTCCTGATATCCAATCTAAACCTCCCCTCTTTCAATTTAAACCCGTTACCCCTTGTGCTGTCACTACAGGCCCTTGTAAAAAGCCCTCCCCAGCTTTCCTGTAGGCCCTTTCCAGTATCACCGAAATCTAATTGATAAAAAGCTTATAAAAATATCTTAACCAAGTCACCAAATGTCAGTTTTGTCATGCACTTAAAATTGAACCTACCTTGATGATATTTTCTGGCCAGGATTTAAGCATCGTAGCGATGTGTCCCCGGTCATGAATAGTAATAAAAAGACCTCTGCAAATAAAAAAACCCCACACTTTTCACAGACAATTAAACACCTCAGTATAAAACAATGAAATACTAAATTAACTCTATGCAAATGTGTCTCCAACATACATAAAGTTCAATATTAAGTGTTCAATTTTGTCCGAAAAAGTAGATGAAATGTCTGCATTAAGTAGAAGTCCAAAACATATAACTCAGTAAATCTTCACTGAGCAGTGAGAATCTGCAGGATTCATTTCTGAAAATTGCTAGGTTTGATTTCAAAGCTCACTGAGCATTTCGGCTGTTTAAATGTGTTTGTTAATTGTCCCAGACTACAAAATGTGTTCACTGTGTAACAGTGATTACTAGTGCTCTGTCAGTTCTAACGTTTACCAACAAGAATAGGCCAAAGTTTTAATCCATGAACAAAACCTGAAATAAGACATATACCATCATTACACTAAAAAAAAAAAAAGGCAAGATAATTCAGTTATGTGATTATAAAACCATCTGCCTATTTAATTCGTATGCCTCAAACCTAGAAAAGTGGAAAATTATCTTCTCTATATGAAAATCTCTTTGATTTGAAAGTGTGTTGCTAAGCATACCAAATTTTTACTTTGAAGAGTATTTGTAAATTGGCCTTTAATTCCACCAATACGGAAGAGTATAAAACAAAATGTCAGAAAAGTAAAATTCTCATTTCTTTATTTATTATAGAAGCAAAATCAATTAGTGTCTTATTCTACTCTTCAGAATTTTATCCTTCATTTATTTTACGTGACCTGCAGCTATACATGCAAGCCCATCCAGACTTAACTTAATTCCATTTCTATGTACTTTTCTCATTTGAGATGGTGGAAAACCACTGCCACTAAAGTCAATCTCTAAAAAGCCACGAAGAAAACATCAGTGAAGAAGTACATGCCAAAGGTGCCTTCTTGTAATTAAACTTTGCAGTTGTCTGCAACTTTTGAGTTGTCTTGTGGAATTATTCTAAATCATTCCATTCACCCATTATAAAAATTATGAAGTTAAAATTAGAAAAGACTATTGAAATAGTACTTTAAAATCCAAGTCTATTACAGTATCTCCATGTTCATAGAAGCGGGTACATGTCCATATGGGTCCAAATAAAACTAATAACTCAGAGAAATGCTTGTCAGATATGACTGCAAGTATTCCAAGTTAAGCAAAAAATTTCCTGCAGTGTTTAAAGTACATTAGTCAAGACACCAAAATGAGTCCAAAACCTATATTTAATTTCATCTGTTTGTATATCTCATATGTATTAGATTATATGATCTATATATAAAAATACCACGTGATATAGATTTTTATATTGACACATACTTAATTTCATATTTGTCTTCTTCCCCTCTTTTCCGTCAAAAAGATACAACTGAAATAGTTTATTATTTTGGACAAAAGGCAATGTAAGATATATTGCAATTATCCCAAGTATTTCTTAATCTTAAAGCTAATGATTCAGACACAGAAACTACAACTTCAAACAGCTAATTATGTAAAAACTGTCATGTTCTGAAAGAAAAATATATATGCACTTTATAAAGGAAAAAAACCCAGTCATTTCTGGTTAGATGTCCTTAACTGTTTAAATTTCATTTTATGCATCTCCCCCCCAATAACTGGGAATACTCTGATCCTGGCATTCTCAATTAATTCCCCTTCTGCTTCCCTTCCCCACGGTCAGAACGAACACACAAGGCAAGATGATTATGTCTACCGGTTGTTTCTTAATAAGTAACGCCTGTCAGCAGATGAACTCCTCCACCCCAGTGGATGCGACCGTCCTCAGCGGCAGGAGGGTTACTACTGACAGCACTTCGCAGAACTTGTGGTATTTACAGCCTACCAGCACTTCCATTTGTGACCCAGCTACCCGAAAAAAGATGTCCCTAACAGCAAAACAGCGTGAAGAAGCAATGCAAAATACATGCTGATGCTTTCCTTCTGAGGTACTGTATAGTGAGTCAATTCATAAAACACTGTAACCCGTTAAATCACAAAATACAGTTATCAAAGTTGCCAGCCTCAGAGAACATCAGTCGTGAGAGATGAGCGTGCGAAAGAAAACGAGGAGCGCAGGAGGAAAGCTACCTAGAGGCATCACCCCTCCCCTCCTCACTGCCCTCCAATTTACACCGACCTGATAGATTCTTGTTAAATGAAGCAAGATTTTGTATTGATTTTCTAAAGAGCCGACCCAGCCCAGTGTGGTTAAACGACCTCTTCACTGCAAGCTGGGCAGAGAGGTCTTCGTGGAATAAATACCCTGGCAGAGGGAAATAAAGGCAGGGTGGCTGCTCCAGAAGGAATTTTGTTAGTACATTTGTAAGGCCCTTTGAATAAGTAGTGAAAGCATATTTTAGAAATCTGTCCAAGCGGGATCACATTTAATCAACAATAGAAAATAGGGGCTGAAGTGCAAACAGAGTCGTGTTGAAAATATTTCACTCCCCTCCATCTCCCCTTCCCCTCCATTATTCCTGTAGATTAGTAAAATGTTTCCGGACACATTGTCTTGACTGAGAAGATATTCTGTGCCCTTAAATCTAGGGGTAAGATATAAGAATCTTTTCTTCTTTTACCTGGATATGTTTTCTTAATCTTTCATTTCTTTAGTTAAAGCATTCTTCTTCTTTAAGCTACACCAGGACACAAGAGGAACCCCAGCTTGCAACAGCATCAGCCACAAGAATATTCAACCCATGTTTTGGGATTGAATGTACTGGCAGTACTACCTGCAGGCAAACCACCAGAAAGGAGCACTACGCATTTTTGCCTTGCCATGAGGTCATGCTATGTCCAGGAAAAGCACCAGTTGCATAAGGTTATTGCAAGTGGGACAGGTGACAAGGCAGCCAACTATTTGGCTACCTAGCAGACATTATAGATTATAGAGGTTAAGACTGGATATTAAGATAAATTCCTTCACAGAAAGGGTTATCAGGTACTGGAACGGGCTGCCTAGGAAGGTGGAGGAGTCACCATCCCTGGAGGGATTTAAGTGACGAGCTGATGTAGTGCTTAGGGACATGGTTTAGGATAGACTTGGTAGTGCCAGGTTGGCTGCTGGACTCGATGCTCTTAAAGGTCTTTTCCAACCAGAACAATTCTATGATTCTATGATTATAGTTATTTTTGGGCTGTCATAGCACAGCCATGAGAAGAATCAAGAAAGCAGCAAGCTATAAAGTCTAAATTGCATTGAATTATATATGTATTTCAGTTCAGAAATGAGGCAGAATTACCCATTTGAGTATAATGCTAATAAGTACTGGTCATGTCAGTGACATGCATCTGCTCTGCCAGATGCAGAGCAACAGATGTATGATGCACATCTGTCTGACAAAGCACTTCAGGATGCGGCTGCTGCAGCAGATGGACAAATAACATTTCAGCATATGGAGAAAAAAGCAAGATACAGAAATGGAAAAAAATGCTTAAAAATGTGGGTTTGTAAAGAAAAAAGATTACGCTGCTTGTTTTTCAGCAGGCATATATTCACACATTTAACAACAAAAGCATCTCACGGGGAAGTAGGCGTTGTTTCTCCTGTGCAGACCTTCGGAGCAGCCCAGGCTGGCAAGCTCGCTGTATAAGCAAGAGTAGGTTTTACAACACAGTGAGGTCCTTTCTGTTCGAACTGACATCTCGCTTCCACATACTATCTTTTCTTCCAAGGCAACAAATTGAGACCTGCTGAGGTTTATAAGGCCAATCAGCAAAACTGTGACTTAATCCTGACTTGAAGCTTGTAGTAGCAGGTGATTCTTCAAATCAGTATGTTCATTTTGAACGTGGCACGACGCACATCTATGTGGAACTTGTCTGAGCAAATATGCCAAAGGGCTCATCTTCCTTCACCTTGTCCCCACTTAGATCTCAGTTCAGCACTGGTTCATACCAGTATAGCCAAAGGGATCACCTCTACTCATGCCCGGTTTGGATAGTCAGACAATAAATGAAACTACAGTGGAGGAATAATTATGCAAACAAGTAACTATGTCTCTTTGTGTCACAACACCACTAGGACCAGAGCCCTGAAGAGTGAGGGTGGCATCCACGCTGGGACACAGGGATCCAGGCAACAAAGGGTGGAATTATTGGGTCACTGACCTCACAACACTGTAGCAGCTTTTACCAGTTATGTGGAGGTCATTCTACATCACATAATTTGGCTGTGTTTTATTAGAACTCTGATCTCTGAGAACAAAGTAAACAGAATTAAATGGAGCATTTGTTTATTATGCTTCAAGGAAGTAATGTTCCCCCAGCAATGCATTTCTCTATTTTCTATTAAAACATAGTTTAGAAAAATATGCCATAGTCACAGAAAAAGCTTTTCTTTCCTCTTGCAATAACAACAGGAGGCAATCTAGCATGTCTCAGAAAATGCCAAACATTTTTTAATGAAAAAAAGTTCAAACTTTTCTCATAACCCTGCATGTTCAAAACTGTTATTTGAATTATGAACTGTACATAGAATTATAACAGAGGTGACTTCACTTCCTCAGGCAGCCTAAATCAACGAGATTAAAAATAATAATAATAAAAAATTTCAGGGACCAGCCTCAGTTTATTTCTGCGCCTAGACTTTTCCAAAGTCCTGCACTTTGCAATAAAGTAGGGAGCAGTAAAGTACTTCCCTAGTCCCCCTTGAAATTCCCTCCTATTCTTGTTAAAATTATAAAACACAGTACAATACAAACATTGTACTAGAAACCACGAGTACCTATATCCCCCAAAAGAATGGTCTGCTCCTTTTTCAACAAGAAATAATATTTCTGATTGTAACTGCTGAAGATGGTCCCCTGTCATCATATAAAGTGTGCTTGAACTTGTAATTACATCTTACTTTACCAGGTTCCTCTTCATAGCAACATTCGTTGCAAGACCTCTGAGGCCTAATAAATACAAGTGATGGGCCGATTTAAGAAATGCAGCTCTTCACAGATATTTTTTTTTTTTTTTTAACCTTTCCCTCTGTACAGGGTGAAATT